TATTATTAGCTTCACATTCTTATTGATAAATGAAAAAATAGAAATATAAAGTATTACACTATTACAAATAAAAAGAAGTATTTCTTTTAGAACGAGATTGTAGAAAAAATAAATGATCAAGAAAATACTATTTATTTCACTGGTAACGTCTGTTATAAAAAATTCTTAGGTCTTATAAAAGTTTTTTACATAAGTAGTATTCTACTTATGCTTTATGAAGATCTAACCAGTTAATAATGCCTATTATTATTTTATACAGTGAAAAAATATAAAGAAGATATTAGAATGAAAAGAAGTTTAGTTAGTGAAGAAATTTATAAAGAGTTCTTAATAATATTCTGATTAAAATCAGGTATATATCTGTAGAAAATAAGCTAGTGATTATCTCTAAATTAATACGATTATATCTATTACTATTTGCTAGAACTTCCATTTGAGTAAGTATGTAATGAAAATATTAGGTCAAGTAATATGAGTTCTTTTGAAATATCATCCTTTTCAATCTCATTGGAAAAAGCTGTCAAGGGAATTTCTAAATCATCATCACTTATAATATTAAGACTAGTAATATTAATTATTAAAATACCTAATAACTTCAGACCTGTAACTTAACTATCCCTTCTTTTTTGTAAAATATGAATGTGATCAATATTACTATCAATTATGGTAAAGGATCAGACGAGCAACAGGAATAAGATTTTTTCATTAGTATAATACATTTTATATTTTTATAGCATAAATTATGTAAAATATGAAAGCAAATAATAAAACTAATATATCATTACAAAATAAATTTATATATTTTTAAAAAAAATCAATAAATTCTTTATTATATTTTTTCATGAAATAATACATAAAAAAAGGCCTGAAAAAAAAATTATCAAATATTATTTTTTGACATTTTACATTTTCTGATGGCCTATTAGTGAAAATCATATAACTGTGATGTAATAACCTATCTAATTTTTCTCTAAGAGTATTGATATCATCACAGCTTAATCTGTAGATATGAGATACTAGAAAGGTCTTTACCTATTGTATTTTATCATGTTCAATGGTGTTAAATAAATCATAAATCTTTCTTGCTCTTTCTATCTTTTTCTCAATAGTATTTTTTGTGAGATCACTTAGGAATTATTTTGTAATTTCTTTAACAAACATTCTCTGAGTCTTACGTTCTCTATAAAATCTTTTGAATTTATTAAACATATTTTCAAGATCTTCTCCAAATGAATAATATCACATAATAATTTCTTGATTTGTATCTCTATTTTTGTCTTTAACTATAATGATCGCATTATATAAATCAGTAAAATTACTTCAGTTTGTGATTGCAGTTTGTGTATCAATAGTACTTAATGCAGAATTTGGCATTGTTAACTTCAGAGTAGGTGATTAGTTGAAGTCTTCTGCTTTTTAGATGAGGATTATTTGGTAGATTCAAGTAAATTACCAGACCATTTCTAGGTAGTATTTAATGCTTCTTCTACTAGAAAAAATTCCAAATCTTTAGGTAGGTAGGACACTTTTTGTATAGATTATCAATAAAATCATAATGTACAACATGTTTATAAGGTAGAAAGATAGTGTCTTTCAAGAAATCACTGTAATTTCCTTAGTACATTTTGCTCATAATACACATCTTTCAGTTTCTTGAATTAATGCATCCTTAACATCCTCTATTAGATCTTCTGTAATTGTTGGTAAAATTAGCTATAAGCTCTGATATTATGTTAGCTTTAGTTAAATTGTCTGAATTGAAATATTTGAAATTGAATTTCAGATAACTAATTTGAAATTAGAACTTCTGAAATTGAATTTCAGATAAATTTAAATTTCAAATATAAGGCTATCTGAAATTAAGATATTTAAAATTAAACTTTAAAAAGAATCTGAATAAAGTTATCTTAAATTAAATTAAATTTCAAAAAAAATCTGAATTATAGATATAAGATCAACTGAAATTAAAATAGCTGAATAAAACTTCAAATAGAATTTAAATATTAAGAGATGTATTTGTTTTATTGACTAATGTTTTGCCAAAAATTATTTTACTTATTATTATTTTAACAATATGTTCATTTCATTAATAAATGTTTCATTAATGATTATTTTACTATTGCAATTATTTTACTGATATATTTTACAGACATTCTAAAAAAAATTTTGAAAGTTAAAATACAATAAATACTATAATTTATATTTTTCAATAAATTTAATTATTTATTTCAAAATATTTTTATTTCTTAATTATCCATAAATATATTAATTAAATTAATATATAGTATTGATAAAATAATTATCTAAATAAACAATTGTAAACAATTTCTTATAAAAAATCCATAAGTTATTTATTTCCACAATCATTATGTATATTTTAAATTAGATCTTTATACTCATAATCTTGTTTTGTTTATGAAAGTTATGGTAATTCTTGCAAAATTGATTTTATGTTGAGTTAGATTTGATTTTTTTTTTTATAAATATTTTACTATTAAAAAGTTGCTATATCTTGAAATATAATTTTTTACTATATAATTAATTTTTTATTAAATAAAGTAATTTATATATATTTAATAAATTTACTTTTAGTAGATTTTTAAAATTATAATTTGCCTAATAATAAAAATTTGTCTCCATTTTTTTAAAAGAATTTTATATAAATAATGAGAAAAAGAATAATAATAACTTCTCTTTACAATTTTAAGTTAATATCATAAAATTGTATGATAATATAATATTAATTATCTTATAATTAAAAAAGTATTAAAAAAAAGAAAGTTTATAAAAATAAAAAAAAGCCATTTTTCATGAAACTGAATAAATTACCTAAAAGAAACTTTGTGTAATTATTAATCAATCTTTGTAATGAAAAATTTTTAAAAAATTAAAATCTACTTTTTTAAAACTTAAAAAGAAAAAGAATAAAAATGTAACAAAAAATTTATTAATTTAATCAATCTAATCAAACCGAATAAAATCAGAATTTTTTTTATAATAATAGTATAAGTACAAAAGGTTATGTACATTCGCCCTGATTTAAATTGCATAGTAAAACATATATGAAAATTTTTCTGGATCTATAGTTCCACAAAATTATACATCTTTTTAAAAATATGACCAATTAGCTTTTTGTAAATTTATAAACAATTACTAAATTAAATTAAATATAAATATATACGCAGTTTGAAATTTTCCATTACATTATATAGTTTATGTATTTTAAATTTCCACAAGTTAAACTCTTTTTATTAAAATTTAAAAATAATTATTAAGTAAACACTAAGCTTGAAAGTTTCTATTCTTTACATGTTTTATTATAAAATTTTCGATGAGCTTTTATTCTATTTTGTCTCACGTTTCCTTTCATATTCAGAAAAATTCAAAATTACAACCTTAATTCTTCTCCGTCGATAGAGTATACCAAAATACATTTCACTTTTAGTTCTTTTCATCCATATTCTTTAAGTGCGATTGATAGCTGCGATGTAATTTTTTTCTTTGCTTCCACTATGGTTTGCTGATAAAATTGGATTTGTAATGTGACTGATTGACTTGATCAGTTTTTATAGTTCTCTTAAAGATATAATCAAGCTTGTTCCGGTTCATCCAGCATGTTACTAGTTTCGTCATATGTTTCCTGTGCGTAAATACTATCAATCAGTCTCTTATATGCTAAAATAAAATACAATGGCCAATATAATAAACAGTAACTTACCAATTCAAATTTAAAGATTTTCACGGCCTTAGAGATTGGAACTGTTTAATTTTTAACCGGTTAACAAATATTTTAACTGGCTAATTCCTCGGGAAAATCAAATAAAAATACTTCAAGTAACATTTGTTCATATAGTCCAGCAATTTGTAGAAATGGCACTTTTGCAATTTTCGCTTGGTCATCTGTTAAGTTCAAACTTAACATTCCATTTAGTATGGATTAATTAACTCTTGCGAATCGACAGCAAACTCCAATTGATTTATAGCACTAGCAAGATCAACACTTGAGTAACCCAAAAACATCGCACTTTCGCCATTTTTCAAAATTTGCTGATTTGCTCAACGAGCAAAATGATTCACTCCCTAAATGTAATTCATGAAATTAATATTCTGACATAAAAATAATAGTGAGATAATGGATGATATTATTTACCATATATATAATATATATTGAGGCCTTTGATTAGGGATTTCAACAATATATGAAGTTGCCTTCACGATAATGTCAACTTGAGTGTAAGTTTTATCTAGAGGTTGGAACCGGTCTAAAAATATTCAACCGGTTCCAACCTCTAGTTTCTTCTCCACAATCCAGCATATCCGACCGTCTTTAACCTCCAATAGACTATATAAGAATTAGAAGACAAACCCAGGACAAAGTAAAATGTAAAGAAAGGAAAATAACTTACAAGTCTACATAAATTTTACTATTTATATATATGCAGGTATTGATCGCTGAGTTTCTGTGTTTTTCCTAATACTATTTTAACAAAAGTCAAAACTTTTGATTTCGATTGGTTTCGATGGGTTTAGATGGTTTTGACAGTTTCGACGGTTTCAACGGTTTCGATTTCGATGTCTCGGGAATTTGTCCGGCAACCTTAAGTCTTTCCATGCAAAACTTATTTGGATCGTTTCAAACCGTCTAAGCATAAACGAAAAAGTGTAAATAATACAATATAAATTAATAAATAAATATAACTATAAACATTAAATACCATTTACACTTCTGCAATAAAATATTCTGGAACTTTTAGGATGGTTTTGCAATCTTCATTCATGAATCCAAGATCCTTATTATCTGAGATGTATTAATTTCGACACAAAATATCTATTTCTGTCCTTTGTAGATTTGCAAGTTGCGAATATTTTTTACTAAAAATATCCTTAACGAATTGCCCAGATGACAACAATACCCACTTCTCTGATGTGGGTAGTACGCATTTTGCAATATTATCTGACGGAAGATTTCTTCTTCCACGTTTACTAATTCTGGGAATTCATCAACGTAAATTTCTGGCGGTGAAGTCTGGTTGTGATGGTAGTTTTGATAGGACTATGCCAGCGAGAGTATAGTTGCCTGGATTTTGAAAGATGGCAAAAGTCGAAACCCTATATTTCGACGGATTTGTTTATAAGACTTTATATACATTGAAACTTTTAACGGGATTTGATTATATATTTTCAATAAAATTTATTTTAGCTTTTGCAGTGTAATCTTGCCAGGGAACTATAATCGGGAAAAATATTGCTTACACGTGTCTTTTGCTAAATTTTAAAAAAAATTAGAAAGTTCTTTAAACTCAAACTATGCATTCTCAGATGAAGTTACTCACAGACTTTGATTGCTGAGGGAGAAATATTCGTCAATATTTTTATTCTGTTTTATCTCTTTATGTTCGTCCTAAAATAATTAAGATGCAATATAATTAATTCCGCTGATTCACAACTTCCAGTTAAAAATGTGAGTATATACCTCCTCCCAGTTTCTCTTTCTTTCAATGTTATGAAACCATTGTTGTTCTTGATCCTGAAAGTGGACTGAAGGTTAGCAATAGATATATAATTTTGAATTCCACCAGATCGATTCAAAGTCAAAACATAAGAAATTCTCCAAGATATATTGTCTTACGCCCCAACACAGCTTCGCATGTCTCAAAGACTTGATTGACGCATGATTCAATGTCCTCACGTCAACGCCACCAAATAAAAAAAAAGATAAACTCGCCTGTTTGTACGCTTTGGACCTTCATGAGTTTCAGCAATGACCTCGAGGGACATAACGTACGACACTAACTTTTGCTTGAATAATGGTAAATTACATTCTTCTAGAAAGTCAAGGTGTTCCAATTCTCAGGCTCGCGATCGAAAATATCGTGTATCAGATTTAACGGACGTTGCTGATCAAAGGTTAATTTGTAAAATTTTAATTATTATAGAGTATGGATAAAAAAAAAAATTTATGCAAAAAGATAAGACAGTGAACCATTTTAAAAACACACCTGGAATTGAGACACCACCATGACATAATATATCATAAAGTTTTGTTTAATAGTAATAAGAGACGTCTGGCTCTTTTAAACTTCAAAAATAGAAAGTTTATATCATAAAAGAATAAATGAAAACGGGTTAGGAATATAGTTGCCTGGCAAAACTCAAATGGTAAAAGTCGAAACTCGATATTTAGACGGATTGTTAAACTTTAATATTGGGATTTTATTGTGGTTTTGAGTTTCGACGTTTTGCCAAATAAGATTTACTAAAGTGACCCCGTCGAAACCCGAAAGTTTTGCCAGGTAAGTATAGTGAGGAAGAACTTTATAATACACGCGAAGTTGCTTGTAAAAAAAAAAAAAATAATAAAAAAATTTTTTAGAAAAGAAAGTAAAGAAAAAAAAAGTTTCAAATTTATATTTAATTCTTATTTTGGAGATCAAATGTAGACATCATGAGGAAGATCATGTGATCATGACGTTATCATTTTTTCATTCGCAAGTAAAAATTGCAAGCTTTGATTAATATTGATGATATCATTTTTACCTTTAAAGATTACTTTGATATTTACTTAAAAATGTGTATAACGAAAGAATTTTTATCCGAATTAATATCATTTTTTCAACACCTATCGGAGAAATTTTGGTACCTGAGCTAAAAGAGCTGAAGCTGATAACTTTTTCTCAAGAGAATCTGTATTATACAGGAGCGTATTTTCTCTAGATTTGATCGAGCTTTATAATACACTGGAATGGTAAATTTGCAAGCCCTAGTTCAATTATTATTTTATTGTTCTAAATTATCTAATTTTAATATTCAAGTATCAGAAATATAAAATCAAAATAAAAGTGGAAACGGTCATCGACTATCAGAACAAAAAAAATAAATCCAGTTCTAACCTTTAATTTAAAGAATCAAATTTAACAGGAAAAGCCATATAACACCCCGATTCAAATGAAAGCTTGTAATCTTAATAAAGATTAAATGACATTTTAAATTCACTCGTCTCTCTTTTTTTTTTCTAATTTATATTCAAATAAGACAAGGACTCGGAAAATAATGTGAAGTAAGTGGTTTCTTAACAATATTTATAATTAATGACTAAATAATTAAATATTATTTTAGGTTTTAACAATTGAACTGACTTGATACAGAAAAAAAGGGTTGATCAGACATGCTCATCGGATTTACAATAGGTATCGGAGATTCTTAAGAAATTTGATATTTGACCTTAATGAAGGTGATGACGGTCTAACTAATCATAGCAATAGCTGATTCAGCTTGTCGAAAAATGATTAAGAAGCTTGATAGATTGAGCCTTATTATAAAATTAATAGACCACATTTAATGTTAAACGGGAGTATTGTGATGATGAATGTCCATTTAGGTAGGTGTTAACAAATTTATATATTTATTATTATTATTATGTTGAAAAATTATTTGATTAGATAACTTAAGAAACCTTTATGTACTTGTAAACGTTAATTTTTATTACAGGAACCTAAGAGGACATTCCAGAAGTTGACCTTAAAAGTATTATTTTACATTTGGAGAAATTAAATCAATCGTTGTTATACATTACCAAGATGCGATGAAGCAATTAAAACTTTTGATGAACAAGCGATAGATCATTCTCAATAGTTTGAGGAAGACCACATCCTACTAGACATAAATCTTGAAGGTACAAGCAGCAACTTCACAAAATAATGCAAATCCATATACTCATATCTCCTGGAGAAACGTCAACTTATTACCTCTATCCAAGTCAAGGTAAAAGAAAATTTGTTACTACTTTTTGGATCATTATTACTAAATTAATTCTCTAATTATTGTTCTTCAATAAAGAAATATCCTTGTTTTGAAACAGATAGTCTAAAAATACATATTCTAGTATAGTCATTGAGAATCGATGATGCATATTAAACTTTCAAATGTAAGGTTATTTACACTAATTTCTTTATAAATATAAAGTTAAACAGAAGGTTTATACTTTTAAATATATTAACAATACTAAAATCTATTCTAAACAAACGTATCATCAATTTTTCATCTGATAATAATGATACAATCGTTTTAGTATAAATAAACTTGTACCAAAAGAAAATTGTATTATTAAAAAATTTTCCTTTTTGTTTATTTTAATTTTTTTTGGTATTAGTTTACTGGAATCCAAGTATTCGAGAATACAATACCACTATACTATAGCAGCACTGACATAATTTGTAATATAAAGTTAATATAAATCTCAATGTTTTGCAAAGATATTGGATTCCTGATGATTAAGACTTAATAAATGCCAATCACTAAAGTTCAACTGCGCAATTACAAAAAATTGAGTGATAAATAATAAGAAATTCGGGAATTAAATAAACGAAATTATAAATATAAAATTAAAATGTTAAAACAGCAAAAGCGAAAATGTCGCGAAAGGATAAAGGAAGGTTTTAAGGTGTATTTATGCAATTGTAAGAAGTATGTTGAGCTGTTTAAGGATTTTCAGCTCATTTATAAAAAAAAATATTATTAAGATAGCCTGGCATCCTGTCATTTTGTAACCTTGCCAACCTGTCATGGGCGTGTCAATCTGTCAAAATGATCTACGTGAAATTATGATATTTTAATGAGTTTTCAAGTCTATATTATTATATAATTTGAGAGAGAAATATATTGACTAATGTCTTTATATCGATTCTTTTATTTTAACAGAATTGTTAAATGTTTAGATTGTTCTTCAATGTATATGAAGTGCTATTGTCAGTCCATTGTGGAAATTCGCTCATTTACTTGACAAGATAATCCTTGAAATGCATAGGTGGGTTAATATAGATAATTATCGTTATAATTTTACATGCTTTCTCCCTCATATTATTCATTTACTGTATTGAAAAATTATACGAGTGAAATTACGGCCTTTGAATTTTAATTCATAACTTAAGTGAAGTAATTTAGATATCGATAACAATATTACATGATGTAATGATAAATTAGGTTTCGTAAAAAACAATTCAGGAATAGTAAGTCATAATACTGGTAATGCGTTTCATTTAAGCTTACCGAACAGAAACTTTTGATTTATTTCTTTAGGTTTGGTCAGATATTATCATCTCGCATTTATCGATCAGTTGGTTTACTCATCATAAAATAGTTTAACGTTTATATATGCCTTGCATGCTTTTATATTTTATAGCCATTGCTTCATTCTGTTTGCGCTGTCGTATATACTATAATCGAGTATTTAATTAATTTCACATTTTACTAGAACTTCAAAAGTCAATATCACTTTTTGACATGCATTCTATCGCTTATTCTGAGTTCGACACCTACAGAATATTTTCATGGTTCAATTAGTTTAAGATTTTAATAAATTAAATTTTTAAAAAATATCAAAATATCAACCTCCTAATTACTCTCCTATTGATTGATAAGATTATGCAGTTGGTAAAAATGGAGTTCAAACTGACTGCATGATAATAGTATATTTTTTTGAAGCTGAACACTGTTATTAAAAGAGAAAGTATTATATTTAATGTTTGCTCTTGTGAAGATACTCAATGCGCAAGTCTATCAGACCTTGTGGAAATAAAATGAGGAACTTCATTTTAGTAATCATACGTGTGATTATCTGAATATAGTCTTATCTCAATGTGTATGACGTATACATCGATAGATTTTTTTTTGTCTACATACATGTTTAAACTTTTTATTTTTTACTTTTTTTACTTTCATTAGTATTCTATTCCTACAGATAAAGAAATAAAAAACTTTAACAACTTTCAAGAGTAAAGAATACAGATGAATGATTTAATAAAGAAGCCAATATACTGTATTAAAAAACCTATTTCCCAGTATAATACTCATATAGAACTTGAAGATTTTTATGTAGGTTTATTACATAGGACAAGAAGTTAAATAGCGAAAATTACAAAACAAATCTATGCATAACTGCTATGCATCATTGGTACAACATTTAAGTGAAGAGTCAGTAATTAAACTTTGTATAAATTTAACATATAAATAATGAAAGTACATTGCAAATTTTACATTTTTTAAATGACAAACTTTTTTAATTAAACATAAATATCCAAATGAAAATACATGATCGATTCGAATTGTCAATTCCAAATATGTACGTGTTCACATTTATTGCTAATAAATTAGATAAATTGATATATTAAAAACACATTTGAATAAATATAATATATAATTTCGTGAATGTTGCATAAATATAAATATATAAACCGATGGAGTTAATTGACAAAAAAATCCAACGGTGTATAAAAATATTGTTGCAATGAAATCCAATAAAATTTTAATCGATCCATTCGGATTACTCCTCAATCAAGAACGTTTGCATGAAATCATAAATGAAATTGATAATTTTTTTTTTATTTTCATTTAATTCGCTTTGTACCGTAGCATTCGAAAATATTCCTGCTTTTTTGATTTGATCATTTTTTTTTCTGATTTCCTTAAGCTTTTCGATCACTTTAGGAAGTATGATTATTTTTTTTTGATTTTATTTTTAGATTTATTTTATCAAAATCTAATAATCTAAAATTAAAAGAAATTATTGGTCAGAGCGAAGTCATATTTAGAGGGTTCAATAATATTATCATATGACAATATCTGTTTGTTTGCGCGCATCTTATTATTAAAAATTTGTAACACATTGATTAGCATTAATAAGTTCAACCAAAAAAAATAAGTTCACAAGTATTACAAGTGTTATAAATCAAGAAATATATAATATTCGCTCTGGACTATGGTTAGTATTATTCCTTGATATA